ACGCGCGCAGGCGCACCGAGCGCTCCTTGCCACCTTTTGCTTGCAGCCCGCACGGGGGCGCCGCTGCTGCTGCACTGCGCACGCGTCACCGTAATTCCAGGCGTACTCGGTCGATTGCCCGAGTAAATAGGCTGAAGTTAGTGGCTGGTCTCCTACACTCCCGCGCCGCTGGTGTACTAGTCAGTTCCTCTGTCCGTGCGGTGATTGTGGGGAATTCAGACTTCAGAATCAAGCTGATTTGTATTTTAATCACTTAATGATTGTCAGAATCGTTCTTTTTCAGATCCTCAGTTTGCTCGCCTGTGCAATGGGGATGAAGGGGTCTTTCAGCCTTAAGTGAGATTTTAAATACAAAACATCTTGCATGTATGTTTTCATTGTCTTGATCATTATTGTTCACTCATTTCTGTTGTTCTCCTATTTTGAGCCACAAGGACAGCTGCAGAGCAAAGATAGTAAGTTTGGGGTCTCGTCTTGAAGAGTTCACAGTCCTCTGAGCCAAGAGTGACAGTAAGCAAAAAAATGTGACCCTCCTGTAGAGGAAACCTGGGGTCCTGGGGGTGCAAAGAGGAGCCCCACCTACTTCTCTCTAGGAATGTACCTCGCGTGGGGATGGAAAGGTATTTTAAGCAGAAGGAATAGCAGAGACAAAGTAAGCGGTAGGGTGTTAGTGAAGTTGGTCAGGTGAACAACAGTGAGTCGTTAGGGGAGGTTTGAGAGACAGCAGGGGCCAGGTTGTGAGGACCATGAAAATAGAAACAAGAAAGAATTTATTTATTCATTTATTTTAATAAATTTTATTTTATCCCATTCCCCTCTCAATCCCCCTAACCTCCCTAAGTAGAAACAAGAAAGAATTTAAAGATTCTCATTCCTGAAAAGATGCTTCTTTTCTGGAAGAAGTGGATGTCCTCTGGGGGGGGGTGTCAAGGAAGGAGGTTACTGCATGAGGAAGGGGAGGAAAGAGGCCCAGTGACCAGTAGACAGAGATGAGAATTCCTTTCCTTCTAAATCCCAGACCCTACAGACATCTTCAGGTTAATTATTGCTTGAAATAAAGTAAAACTGAGCACAGATCCCCGTGGCCCACCCACAGTCTCTTTAGGGTGGAGACAGGAGAGGACACAGTTTGACAGCTATGATGGAATCATGATGAGTGCACTTCCCCTGGGCTTGGTCTACAGGACCAGGGTGGAGGCACACCCTCCCATGACTTCCCTGACTCCTACCCAGCACCCATGGAACACAAATGATGGGAAACAGAGGTATGAGACTTTCCCAGCTCATCATGAGCTATGCTGTGATATTTCCTTCTTCAGTTGGACAGGTAAAATATAAGGGATAATAAAATATACCTGGGAACATAGGAAGGTTGAAAGGTGGTAGATGAAAGTTCACTGTTTAGCCTGTCATGCTCATTGGAGACACAGACAGCATGAAAGGAAATGTCCCCAAATTTGGTGCTTGTGTATGTGTATGTGTGTGTAGGTTACATTACCTGTGATGAAATGCATGATTTTCAAAAGGATTGTGTTAACGGTGTCTACAAAAAGATACCTCAATATATTAATTTCCTAGGACTACCATGACACAGTGCTTAAAACAAGAGAAGTATATTGTTTCACAGTTCTGAAAGCTGGAAATCAGAAATGAAGGTGTGGCCAAGACAGTGTTTCTTCCTGGATTCCTTGCCCCTTCCAAGTTCTCATTATTTGCCAGCAATCCTTGGCTTGCAGCTGCAGCATTATAATTTCCGCCTCCCTTGTTACATGGCACTCACCCTTTGTGTTTTAGTCTGTGTTTCTTCTTTTCTTATAAGACCATCAGTAACATTGGATTGGGACCCGCCTAATGACTTCATTTTAATGGAATTAAATCTGCAAAAATGCTGTTTCCAAATAAGATCATATTAACTGATACAGGGGAGTTATGACTTCAACAATTTTGCAGGCATACAATTCAACCCACAGAAGCAGGTAAAGGTGCCTATTCTGGAGCTGTGGAAGCTGATCAGACAACAGCCCTGACATTAGTGAACTCAGAGCCCACTGTTGTGTTTTCCTATTGTGGATTGCAGCAAACTAGAGGTATCAGACCAAGAACCTATGGCTTACTTCATTTGGGTCATTAGTTTTCAAAGAGTTGTCTTGGACCAGCAGAATCAACATCACTCAAATATTTGTTAGAAATGCAAATCTGTTAAAAATAATACCCCCAAAACTCAAGGGTAAGGTCCACAAAACTAATGACCCTTCCAGGTCACTCTGATACATGCTCAGGCTTCCTTATTTGAGAAGGGCAATGCCACTGGCTCCTCTCACCTGCTTGAGCTCTCGTCTCTCAGAGAAAATTGCTGAAGACAGGTTGCAGGAAGGGAAGAATTGAATCAACTTTGATTTCATTGCTAAAGAGGACATACACTATATATACTTTAATTCTCACCCTGTCCTGCCCTCCCTACACTACCATTCTCTAGTCTCATCCCTGGAGGCATAACAATCTACCTTACTTTTCTTAAGTCCTTCTCATTTGTATGTTCACAAAGGAGAAACTAATTTAAAGCCCACTTCCTCCCCTTCCTGTGATTTTAGACAATGTTGAATGAGAGATCCAGCAGCTTTGAGTTTTCATCCTTGCTCTGTCTCTAACTGTGCACCAGTGAACCATCACTTAACCTTTCTGAATCATGCTTTCCTCATCTGCGAAATGGGGCAAAATTACGCCCCATTTGTCATGTGGATGAAGCAGGACACAAAACCTTATGAAGAGTTCCAATTTTATATTTTAATTACTATAAAAAAGCTTGGGTTGTTGGAAGGAGGAAGTGGATCCGTGGAGTTTAGGTCACCCCTAAATCCCTGAAGGCACTGCAGCCTCCCTCTTAGAAGAAACTGGGGCTGACTCCAATGGGAGACAAACGATGCAGGCCTCCTTTGAAAACATGCCTTTATCATCCTGATCTGTAGATGGTATTTCTAGCTTGGAAACCTGGAGGCCTTGATAGTGTTGGATTCTTTATCTTGCTAGTCTAGAGAATCACCAACTGCATCTCCTCTAATGTCAGGGGAGCCAAGCAGATAGAACAGCACAATTCTCCCCAAGGTCAACTAAGAGTAGAGCCTGAAAGAGTGTCCCCTGTTCAAAGTCTGACCAGGGAACATCTACAAATGGCCTTTTAGTTCTTTTTAGGTACAGGTCCCTGGGTGGCATCATTTGTCTGTCCTTGCATCCATCCATCCATCTGTTTGTCTTTCCCAAACTGCCTGCTGAGGCATAGCCAGAGACAAGCCCTATCCTTGGCACAAGGCCACATGCTAAGATGAATCAGATTGGGCCGGCTGGAGCCAGTGGGTGGAAGACAGAGGACACACCAAGAGGAGGGCACAGCAGGAACCAGGGCTCATGGATGGGAAAATGTTGGGCACTGAGGTTGAGTGCAGGGTGGTGGCTTGAGCTCTCAGCTGGGGTGCTGAAGGTCATAGAGAAGCAAGAAGAGGAGGCACAGAGGGAAAAGCAGAGTCCCTAAAGGAGGGAGGAAGTTGGAGAGAGAATGACGAGAGTGGGAGGCAGGAGCTCAGACAGGGTCCATGGGGAAGCAAGTTGGTGCCTGTGGGTCTATCTGTCCCCACAGATAGATGGTTGATATCAGGCCTCCCCACTCCCACATTGAGGCTCTGGTTCCACCCTGAATGAGGGGTTTGGATTGCCAGTCCTGTCCCTTATCTATGCTAGGGCCCCTTGACCACAGCACCAGGACGAAGTGGTAGAGTGCCTAGAGATAGGATGAACTAGGACTGAATCCTTCCCTCCTTGGCTAGATGACCTTGGGCAAGTCACTTCACCTCCTTGATGTCTGACGCTATCACATACAGCCAATGCAGTCAGGCAGTCCATATTGTAAGGGGATTACATCACAGAAAGGACCTGAAGCTTGGCCTAGCAACTGCTACAGCATCTGGCAAGCAGGGAACCTCCAGTTCTGGACACTTGACGGTCAGTGCAGTTTAAAGGGGATTTTCCACCTTCAGAGAGCACAGGACTTAGAGCCCAGGTCCTCAGTGGTCGCACTTACAGCTTGGACAAGTCTAGGGAGAGATGTAATGTGGAGGAGCCTTGCAGTCCTCAGCATGGGCTGTATCTCTTGTTACCTCCTCATCCTGTCCCAGAGTCATACACATGCTGGGGGCAAGAAGAGCAAATGGCAGGGCGGGAGGGGTTGGGATGAGAGGTTTACCTCCTACTGACCCCGCATATCTGGACTCCTGGCTCCACAGGCCTTCAGCCTGGGCAGGAGGGAGCAGGGCCAGCCTCTCTCACC